ATATATATATATATATATAGATTAGATGGAAACACATGCTGGGATAAATTGCGAAATTGATCTTACAAGCAACAGCTGTATGAAACGCTAGACAAATCTCAGCACTGCTGACTTGCTCCTAGCTCCACATTGTCTGCTTTAGTATAAAACAATTCAAAGAATTGAATTTTTAATATGATACGGTTTCTTCCAAGTATAAATATTATGATATAAATTATATTACAAAAATAAAAAATTGGGATTATTTTCATATTGAAACATATGGCGCAGTTATTTAAAATGTTTGCATTTAAACGTTAAAACAAAATTAGATTTTTTACAATAAGTATAATTTAGATAAAAAAGATCATTTTTTGTTAATTGTATTTAGTTAATTGTTTTTATTAAATTTTTTCCTATTCAATTTAAAGTATTCTCAAGCGACAGTTCTGAATAATAATGGAGATAGCGACGGTGAATCCGGATTTTCATACGTCATAGACTCGTTTTTGCGTGACTGGTTCCTCCCGCACATTCTTCCACAGGGTTGAAAGTTATACCATTAATTTTTCATTACCACAGATCGACTATATAAGATCGGGATTCGCGAGGATCAGGCATCAGTAAAGCCTGATTTCTTCCATTGAGAATCATGAAGTGTCTGGTGAGTTTACTATTTATCAATCGTTTTAATTAAAGATTATATTAATTTGTAACAAAACATTGAAAATTTTCACCGATGTCAGCAGATATGTTAAATAAATCACAATTTAACATCTTTTTTTCTTACAGATTTTTATCGTCGCCATAGTAGTGGCCGCTTCGGCCGCTCCCGAACATCAACGCCGATCTATCGGACATAACAGCGCGGTGATCATGGGAGCACATGGCATCACCGTCGCAGGACCTGTTGCACTTGCGGCCGCTGTAGTTGCACCAGCAGTTGCACCCTCCGTAGCCGTCGTTGGGCCTACTTCGGGTGCTGCAACCATAGTTGGTCCGGTTGCAAGTCCCGTGTTTTAGGTAGCTGAGCCTGCTTCGAATGCTGTAGCCATCGTTGGACCATCTGCAGCTTCCGCAGCTATAGTTGGTCCCTCTGCGGGTTCCGCAACGGTTGTCGGACCATCTGCAAGTCCTGCAACTGTAGTTGGACCCGCTGCGGGCTCTACCGCGATCCTGGTTCCTGCCGCAGGTAAAATATTTTTGATACTTTTAAATAATTCGAAATATGAAACTTTGGTAGTTTAATCAAATACGAACATGATTACTTTGCAGATTTAAATATACAATAAAATAAAAATAAATGTTAATAAAATTAATAATCAAAATATTATATTGCAGCTTCAAGCGTACTGGCTGGGCCTGCGGGAGCGGTGGTCGTGCCAGGAGTTGCAGCTTCGAACGTTGTGGCTGGGCCTGCGGGAACGATAATTGTGCCGGCAATTTGCAGCTGCTAATAGAGTTGTGATCAGATCTGCCTGATAAAATAAAGCGATAAAAGGTACATTCTCGAAAAATATAAACCCAGCGATCTCTCTCAATAAAAACCGAGTTTTTATTATCTCAAACTATACGTAGACTATCTCAAATATTATTTATTGTCCAATCGATATACAATAACTGGAAAATATTTTCTCATTCTGCAGCATTTTCATAAAATTTATTATAAATGATAAAACACATATCTTGTTGGACTTATAATAATATTTATAATATTTATTATTTATATATATTTATAATTTACCTTTTATTTTAATATTTATGTAATAATTATCTGCAATAATAATCACGGAATATAAAGTGTAATAGAATGTAATGAAATTCAATACAACGTCAAACGGTATATTCTGTTTTTCTTTTATGCTGTTTTTCAATCATTCTCAATAATAATAATTATTATTTAATTGTAATAGCAGAAATTGAGATACTTTATTAATAATAATTATATGTTTTTTTAGTTATTTTAATTTAATTTTATTTTATTTTAACGACTAAATTCTAAATCTTAAGATATATATTTTTTAAGATACAATCTTCTTCATCCGATGGCCAAGTTTAATATTTAATACCTGTTTTTCGAGACATGCACTAATTATGCGCTCACTAAATTTAGAAAGAAAAAATTTTGCGCTTTTTTAGTGCATAGTCAGTGCATAATTATATAATTTTTTTAATTAATAAAAACAAATTATTGATTTTGGCTTTTTAGTATATTATTCAATATAATGAAAGTATATTATTCAATATAATGTATAATTTTTTTATTGAATTTGTACAAAGTTGAGGGCTAACTAGGCAGACGTAATTTTTTGTATATCTTATTTCACAATTACATATTTATATTTAAAGAGTTTACAATTTGAAACGCAAGCTAGAATGTGCGAAAATATCACTATTTTGACAGAATAACAGGATGTTAAAAATTGACTGTGGTCAAACAAATTGCTGCAGCGATTCTAATTTTTATACGTTGGAAGTTTTTAATTCTTTAAAAATAATATCAATATTGTAAATACGTTTTACTAGGAACGTTACCGATTTGGTTACAATAAAAAAATTTAATATTACATTTTGCGTAATTCGTGTAATGTATAATATATTATTGAGTTAATATTTACTTATTTTATTTTATTCATTAACTTATTTATTTACTAGTTCTTTCATATAAGGAAAAAGTCGCGAAGAAGACATCTGTTGCACAAAGACATTTATTCTGCTGACATTTGTACAGTTATAGTTTCAAATAGAAAATTACATTACAGATAAATGGCAATTCTTAAAGGTCGTAGCAAAGTGAGTAAAAATTCTTTTCCTTTTCATGTTTCACAATCTTCTATGATGTTCTCATAGTTGTAACTTTATGATTTGCAGTTAACAGATGACAGCGGGAACGTGAACTCTCGGAGCAAGCACTGTACCTACAGTTCCAGCGACGACTGTTGAAAAATACATTACGTTAAAAACCGTCTAAGAGTTTGGGGCTTACGAAATATAACATTTGCATGGCATTTGAAAAGGAATCATATATGACCATCTGTATACTATTTATATTTAATATTAAAATTGCAATCTATTTTAATTGCAATCTATTTTAATTCTATCACAATATTTTGAAGAACTTGATATCTATAAGTTACGCGATAGTAATAAATTTTAAAAGAAACAATAATATAAAATTTCTTTGATATGTGAATATATCTGGGATGTATTATATATTTACTGATGCCGGAAACATCGTATTAATCTGTACAACTTATGTGCTTATCGAGAACTGGGACAGCAACAACCGCGGCGCCAACGGGAGCTACCACAGCTGAAATAGCTTTTGGTCCTATCACTGCAGCTGCAGGTATTCCTACAACACCACGAGGTTCTCTGTCAGGATAAGCGACAGTCATTGCAACCATAATGAGAGTTATCACTTGAAGAAAAGAGAACAGCTCTTATACAACCATAGATTATTAAATTGAATATAATGAAAATAAATATTAAAATAATAAAATTTTAAATTACAGAATTTTTGTACTAGAAAATGTAGATATGCATTTGCTTTTTTTTATGTAAATATAAAAAGAATTTTTATATAAATTGGAAAAACCTATTTTTGTAGGAGCTACCGACGAAAGATTTCATGCTGATGCTGTTGTTTTGTCTATTCTTCTCTTGATGCTGAAAAGAATCAACTGATGAATTCCCTTGGATTGTATGTCTTTTATACTGCTCTCTTCCTACCCCAACGTTTGCTCCAATGTCACCCATCCGGAGCAAACACACGACCACGCATGTCTATGTATTATCATTATTTTTCCATCTAGCGTGGTCAGCATGATAAGATAAAAACGGCAATCGGAAAAGATGAAATTGCTGCTCTAGTTACATCATATTCAGAATTTAATGTAACAGTAATATAAAAATCGCGTTTATCACTCTCACTTATTATTTTTATCTAAAAATGTATTTGATAATTATCTAACAGAGAAATACGCGTAAAAATGATCGTGATCATTTCTAAACCAGTTGAAAGGTGAAAATGTTACCTTGGAGATCTAGTTTGCGCTCGTCGATGGCATTTAATTCTATTCTTGCATGATTAATATGTGAAACAATCAGCGTTATTTATCAGACGTATTTTCAAGCGTATCTTTTAGAGACATTGATTTAATGTTAATGTGAGGAATTTCCATTCTAATTAATCGTATTGCAATTAAAGAATAAAACAAAGCTTCAGATATTTCTTACGCCGTTCTTCAATATCATGGACATAATAACATATTTTAACGCTATCGTTTTTCTCATTATTAGAAGTTATCTGTAAATAAAAGAATAACGAAGAGAATTGCTTATGAGAAAAAATCGGCGAGATTGCAGCTGGCAATCTGCGGGTCTGCGCAAAATCCGCGAAAGAGGATTGAAAAAGTCACTGTGGAAATACAGTCAATGAAGTTGCCAGTAAGCGAGCAAACTTTATCGTACTTCATCAACCGAGTGGTCGAAGGGGAGCTTGTTATGTCGGAAGTATCCGACGCCGCGTGCTTGATGAGAAAAGTTTAATCTACTAGTTCGTAATGCACTTTTGTGTCACTCATGAAATATGAATCGAGTGGCGTAGAACTGTTTCTAAGTAATGTCGTCGATGTCGGTCGCATTGACCGTAATGTAAATAAATAATATATTATTATAAAAATATCATTATTTCTCTTTTCATAAATTTCAGTTCTTCATTTGATTTGCAAGATTGCGAAAATTTATGAGATGCCGATATTACTTTATACTTGAAATTTTGACGTACCCCTATATTTTATTAACTTCTCCGATCGCTCAGTGTGTTGCGATTTTCCGTTACAAATCGCTTTTCCTACTTCCAGAAAAGAGAATCGCATGATGATGCTACGTGAAGTCGCTAGACAACGCCAACCGTCGATCTACCCATGCACCGCACGTCCGCAACGAACCGAGTTATGCAAATTCGCGTACGCGCAACCCTGTATCCGTTCTCATTGGCTGGGACGGATGCATCGTTGATATTGTTCTCAAATCACTCGGCGTGCTGATGCGGGGCATGAGAATGAACGCGTGGTGATAGTAGACGACAATGATACGCCAGACTCGATGCGATTATACTCTCTAAATGATACGATTCAATTGGGAATACAATGATTTACTTACTATTCGGCAATACGTCTGAATTACTCGCATGATTTTACACGAACGATCATTGTTTCAGTGATGTTGGCTTTTAACATATTTAATCCTTGGAATTCTTTAATTTTGCAATGAATTTACCTACTGAATTCGTCGTAATCTCAGTAATTTTTTTACTGTTTAATTGATATCGACAATCAATATCACTCATATTGTAACATTAAATTTACCTTACTTTTAATTTACTTAAATTTACCTTATTTTTTTAAATAAAAATGCAACGCCAAAAAGCAGATACTTTTTCTAAAATTTTAATCTTTTTAATTTAAAGCGCCAGTTTTGTGCGACCAATACAATTTATTAGACGTTGTGTGCTGTTATATTAACTTTTTTTTTATAAAATACTGAAAATGCATATTTGTTACGGTTGTTAGCACTTATTTTTACCGCGCTACTTTATGGCAATACGGTGCTGCAATATTCATTCGATGGAACATCGAGAAGTGAAATGTCCGTAGATAGGTACATACAGTGTTCAACATACTAACATACGCTGAATTTCTACGATACATGTTTCAGCTGTGATTGCGACTCGAGTATCCGTGGGCAGGACCATCGGTCGGCCCAGCGAACATCGTACGTAACAGCATTGACGCAACCATTACATATCAATCAGCTTTCCTGCCGCATACGTACATATGCATGATCGTCAATGCCGAAAGAATGATCTAAACTGTACTTTACAAGCAATAATAGCTGTAACTGCATAAAAAAATTATTACCCCGTAATAAAAATAGAAAGATTTTTATCGCGACAGACCGTAGTGTGAAAAATATTATAAAACAGGAATTTAATTTTTAAAAAACATGCGGTATGGAAATAATGCCGGGAAAGTTATTGTTATTAAAGATTTGTTATCCATTTTGACGCTGTTAAACAGAAATTCCAGGCGTTCCGTAACGCTCTTCAACTATTAATTTGATCGCATCGTAAGGACTGTACTAACAATAGAAGTTACTCAAACTAAACTTGCGTCTGACATTAACAGTGGTAATTGCTGCGCTGCCAATGTAGCGTTGCTGTTTAAATAAGTTGCAACAGTAGCTGCAAACTATCAGTGCTTATCTGATCTCACGAAATTCCTTGCTGATGATCAAAGAATTATGAAGGCGACTTAATCGGTCGAAATGTCTAAACTATCTTATTGGCTTGTTCACTTTTTTCTTCTTCTCTAATTTGCCAAACAAATTTTATTTTTAATAAATAAGAAAACTATTAAGAAATAAATAGTGAAAGTTCAGAATTCTCACGTGGACAACTCGGACCAAATAGTTATGATATCAAGAAGGAGCAAGTCGCGCAAGGACGGTGAGATAGCGATATAACTTGTTGACATTGGTGACCGTTAATTGCTTTTCCAGCTGTGTCACTGCGGTGAGATTTACATCGCAGTTTCTATATATACATTGCTGTGTTGTAGCACTTTCACTAGTTAGAATTTATAACGCCTCAACATCTGTTTCATAGTCAATTCTGTGTGCATGAAAAAATAGTAAAGATTTACTACAGCGTTAGACTAGTTTATTATATTTATGGTTTTGTAATCCATGTAAAAATTAATTAAATTGTGTAATTAACGCACTGGCAATGTAGAAAGCACCATGTGAGTATAATATGCGAGAAGTGTAATCTTTACACCAAAAACTCAATTGTCGGCATTCTACTGTTACCGAGAAAATGTACTTAAGCTACTTGTTTCACTTTGAGCTTTTACGCAGCACAATTCTAGGATTATTTATCCTTTTCACGTTCTAGCTTCTTCCGACAGCTATAAGCAGAAACAACGTTCTAACAGGCGCATTTACGATTTTCTTCGCTGTAATGTCGAATTTTATTTTCGCTATGCGCTGATGTTGAGAAAAATAATGTAGGTCGACAACAAAAATATGATTTTTAAATTTATTGCATTACGTAAATAACTATTTGTTTTTATGCAATACTTTTATGAAAAATAATACGAGCTTTTAGCCATCAGGTATATTTAAATAAATAAGTAAATAAAAACAGTATTTTGTTATAAGTTTAAAATATAAATGTTAATTTTTAGTTGACTTTAAATATGACTTAATTTTTGCATATTTTTCTTGTAATTTTGCATATATATAGTTAAAATTATATACAATATAAAAAATGTATTAGTTTAGTTAAATAAATATCCAATTATTTTGCAAGTTAATTTTTAATACAATCTATTTATCTTTATAGCGATATAAAATAACAAATAAAGTGGATGAAGAATGTTTACACGTATTGACAAGAAAATAATGTTTTATTTTATTTTTCAGCAAGCAATTATCGTATAATTTTAAAAAATGCTGCAATATTTTTTTATTTGAATGAACTTAATTATACTTATTTGACCAATAAGTATATTAAGAACATTACATGTTTGCGTTTGCGGCATATATATTTTATACACATTAATCGATATACAATATTCAATTTAGCTAAATATTGAATCTAGCTTCAATATTTCAGAAAGAAGCGTTAAACGCCTACGGATAGTGGCATTCCCGCAGCTGCGGCGGAACTAGCTGCAGCAGCATCAGCATTGGATGGAGCACCGTTAACGCCTCCCAGTCCATAATTGTTCCAATAACGACTCAGAATTGGTCTCAAAAAGCTTGGTCTATAGCCATTCCAGGAGTTATAACCGTTGCCAGGACCAACTCCTCCTGCTCCTCCATTCACAGCGGCAGAAGCAGCAGCACTAGCAGCAGCAGCAGCGTTATCGTTGGCCCCGCCGTTCGCAAGTCCCGGATTCACAAGCCCCAGATTCGCAAGCCCCGGACTCGCAAGTCCCAGATTCGCAAGCCCCGGACTCACAAGTCCCAGATTCGCAAGCCCCGGTCTCACAAGCCCCAGATTCGTAAGTCCCGAATTCACAAGCCCCGGACTCACAAGCCCCGGATTCACAAGTCCCGGATTCCCGAGTCCCAAGGACGGGAGTACTCCACCACCGATGAAACGGCCTACAATGGATGGGTAATATGGGTAAGAATATCTGTTCCAACCAGGGTTGCCACCAAGGAGTGGATTAACATTGTCGACTACACTCGAGGCTGCACTAGCCGCTGATGCCAAATCACCGTCAACTTGAGGGTAGATGTTATAGGGTCGGTATAGACCGGAACGGAACACACGCCCTTGTATCACCTGTAATATAATCATGCGAAATATTATTAGTGTGTGCAACTAAACCAAAGTATTTTAGATATTTTGCATCTTATGTTGCTGTTGATTAATATATTTTTCTCTTTCCATTTAATAATTGATATAATAAACACGAGGAGTTCGATGTTACATAATTTTTTGCAAATTGAATTGAAAATTTTATTGTAACGTATAATTTAATTACAATCAATTTTTTTTATACCTTAGAATATTGGAATTAAATATGTCGTAGTTACGTACATTTGCGGAAACGAGCGCCAGGAACACCAAAGAAAAGATTTGCCGTTTAGCCATGATGATTAGCTTTAAGTAAAGTTTTACTTAGCTGCAAAATAAGTGACAATACTCGAACTGTTAGCTGTAGACGACTGATTCTTCTCGTTCAAAAATGCCTTTTTATATGCAATATCTGGGCTCTTTTTTGCATAAGTAACATTTATCATTCATAAATCATCAAAGCATTTTGAATAACATCCAAAGCTCATGTATTGAAATATCTTTAAACATGATATGTCTCGTTTTATTGTTTCTTGCATTCATCGCACGGCTGAAATTCAGGTCGCCAATGCGATAACGTAAGCAAAAATTAACGTTGATTCTAATCGAATTCGCGCGCGACAATCTCACGTTTCAGCTTATCCTTGAAACGTGTCCACGTTAAACAAGATATAATAATCGGGTAGAATTTATGAAAATCAAAACAGGTAAAACGTGCGCGAGTAGAATAATAATTTAATAAACGTTTTAGATCTTTTGTAATTATACTTTTAATACATTAATAATTGTTATGTATAGACACATATATAAAATACAAAAATTTTAGTTATTTGATAAGACATGTTGACTAGCTATTAGATAACAAAACGTAAATGTAATAATCTTTCTGAATAACTCTTCTATTTTGAAAAGTAAGCGGACGATAGATTCTCGGGGAATTTCGGTATGTTGACAGCACAGTCGGCCTCGCGGTGCGTAAACTATTCGGGGGCGCCCGACTGTTGTAAATTTTAATTGGGACAAAATTGATTATCTGTGGTGCTGTGAGTATGCACAGCGACGCACAGTTCACTGCACGTAAAGGGACATTTTCCTCTTCTCGTTGATGAAAACGAGCTTTAAATAGAAAATAATGAGAAATATCACGCACACTTCTGGCAGCACACAACCGCAGCCTTTCATAATTCGCATTACCATAAAGCTAATTATATTCTCAATAATGAGGTACCCTTCTCCCACATTATTTTAATAAAGATTGTTAATTATAGAGAGAAATGGCATAATTCATTTTACATACAAATTTATAAGCGTTATGCTTAATTATCAAGACATTTAGTATTTAAATGCAATTTGTGAACATATTTTGTACGTGTAATTTTTTTCAACGCTCTGTATTTTTAATACTATAATCTTTTTGCTATCAACGCTTATTTTGCACTATGCGCAACTATTTCTTCCAATCAACTACTCTATAATATATCAACCATTCCTTCAACATATAGGTACGGGATCTAATTACGTAACTATGAGACCGTCAGACTGCTAATGGAAATTATGGAAAATTATGGCAGGATGCGACGACACGTGCGCGGTGAAGCGCGGTAGACGCGCTACACAGTCGTCACACGCTAAAGCATGGAAATTCACATAAATGAGCACGGCGTTACGTGACGTTGTATATATGTACGTACGAGATGTCAACGAATGCCATCAGTTAGACCATTCGTAAATTACGTTTGCATCGTCGTTATCGGATAACTCGGTGTCGCAATCGCGACGACGATGCAGACAAAAGCAGTGAAGTGGAAAACTCGGAAAACACATTCACAAAACGTTAAAATGATAATCGAACGGAAACAAGCTCAATGTAAATGACTTCTGCTGTCTGCGAAATCATTAATCTGGATTCAAGGGATTAATCCCTCCATCTGTTTTTATTGTTTTCGATTCTACAAGTTTACATACTGCGCTTGCTTGTTTCCACAGCAAAATTGAGTTAAAAAAACCAAATCAATTCCAGTTAAGTTGTTTTATCACTTTTACGTGTTTTTAATGTAATATTTTTGCATGAAAATATTAGATATTAATTGATATTATTAACAATACAATTTTTCATTACATAATATATGACAAATATGATAATATTATTATTAAATAAAACACATGCTATATGTAGATAATATAATAATATATAATAATATGTGAATAAGAACTTTGATTAAGAACTTACTACCTGCGCGATAAAATCTGTAGCTGTACGAATTGAAGAAAAAAAGTAAAGGAACATTTTTAATCGATTTGGGAATCGAAAAAATATCTTTGTTATTTGATTTTTTATAGTGTACATTGTACTGCAAATTTATGTCATAACTTTGCCATTAGGTTTATTAGTTATGTATAAATACTATGCAGAGATAGAAAAAGTTTTACGTTATTGCAATATTTTTATAATTTTATGCTGTAAACAACTGATAAGAAAATATTTAAAATACTTCAGAGATTTATTTTAGTGAATGAAATTTATTTTTTTTTGCAAATTTGAAACACCTTGATCAATAAATATCGCGAATTGTAAAAAAATCCACATCTATCGGGTTGCACTCGTAATGTTTTTATTTCATTAATAGGGAAGCATGTCAAACTAACGAGTTACTCGTATTCGTAGTACCCATCGACGTATTTTTCTTGGTACATGCGCGCTCGCAACAGAGGCAACGGCTCGTGCGGAGGTAACAATGAAATACAATTAACCAGACAATTTTACGCGGGTGCAGAGAAAAACAGGAGAGGCATTTCCCGCTGGTAATCCTCGTAATGGCATAACGCAACGGACTTGGATGCACTTTGCTCTAATGCACTCAGCATTGCGACCACCAACAATGCACAAGATGAAGCGCTTGAAAATAATACCTCATTATACGATATCACCAGAAATTATGACAAACAATAACGATAATTCATAGATATATTTTTATATTTTCAGTTTTTAGTTTTCTACATTTATTCTACACTCAAAATAATATATAAATTAATAAAAAATGTATTGTTCCATTTTATTCGCGTTGATTATACCTTTTGAAATGTATTACTTTAAAATTCTAAAATATACATGTATCATATTTTTCAACAAAAATTGACACTTAAAAATTCAGGAAGTCTTATTAAAAATCAAAATGTCAGATACCATGTGCACGAGAGACGGCTTTACATGTATGATTCAACGAATTGCATATTTTCTCGATCGAGAAACCGAAACTCTCTCGCGAGATAACGACATATCGCAGTCACGAAGGAGGATCGCAATGTTCGAAGCGTTCGTGAATTCCTGTAGCGACCAGCATCCCAGATAACGCCGTCGACTTTGTGGCTGCAGGCTGATAAGCCCGATAACTTAGACACAGCGTCAGACGAACGTTCGAATTCGGATTTATCCGTTTACACCTCGCTAAAAGAATCGTTTCACAACGCGCAAACAATAATGTAAAGAATCACGTCACTGTCGACGCGGATCTGGAAAATGAAAAGAAGAAAAGCAATGCAGCAAGTACAATCAATTTAATTTTACATTGCGAAATAATTTAATATTGAGAATTTTAAGATAACAACAATCATTAAACCTAATTTCAATTTTATTGATTAAATTATATTGATGTGTTGCATTTTTATGTCTATAATCAAATAATTTTTGATAAAAATAATTTATTACTATCAGAAATAATTAATCCTAGTTATAAATTTTGATTAAAAGATAGAAAAGCAAATGACTGTATTATTACAAGTTTAAATATATCGCAAATTAATTATTCCTTTAATTTATTTTATTTAGATGCCTAAGCAAATTTTCATGATTCAATTATCGTTGAAGATGTTTATCAAGACTTTATTTTAACAGTAATATTAGGTGCCTGTGATTGTAGAATAAAATTTAGTTACCTTCACGAAAAATGGCTCATCGAGAGACTCCTTTAACATTCGCACTTCAGCTACGCCACTGCAAGAGATGTTGGGAAAATCTAAGAAGGATCCTAATCTGATGGCGAAGGGGCGCTAGACAAAGATTAATGGTCGTGATACTGGAACTCGCCAGGTTATAGCTTCTTCATACAATTTGTATGAAAGTTGCGGTCATCTTTTCGGAATATATTTCGCGCATATGAAAATGTTGTAAAATATTTACAACGATGGAAATGGCAAATGTCTATGTAAAAACAATATTATAAAGATAAAATTTTGCATTTTTAAAAAATAATATCAAAGTTTAGGTAAGATCAAAATAAACATGTTCTCGCAAATTACGATTTTATGAAGGATAGGAGATTTTATCTTGAAATTTATATCTCTTACATATTATTATAATAATCTTTTCACATTGCTTGGTCGAACAATTCACATATTACGAAATATAGATTGCAGGATAGTGCATTTTAATGCGATCATTTTACTTTTATCTTATCGATCTCAAAAGGTCGCCCATTGGTTTTCCATCTATTCTCGTTACGATCGCGCCCGTCTTCCATCGTAATCTGCTTCTCGCATACAAATCACGTCATCCGAAGCCATTATCAAACAGTTATCAATTTTAAATTTGATCTTTGTGACGTGCAGCTTTTCGGACGATTTATGGTCTGTTGAAGGAAAACTGCGACATTTCGCGTGAATTCATACAAATTGCTTTTATAATAAAGTATTTTTATAGCGAGATAAATGCAAATACCAACGATTGAATCGCTGATTAAATAAAATATAAAACGAGACACACGACAGTATTGTTGTCATGGCAATCACACAATTTCAAGTAAATACTTCAAATACATTTGGAAACAGGTGGCAAAGCGTGGCATTCTATTATCCAGCGTTACGTCATTATTCATTTCGAAACGATAAAGCGCCGATCGTCATTGCGGGCGCGCAAATGCGACGAATACGTGTGATTCAGCAAATAAAACGCTACATCACGCCTATTTTTGTCATTAACGAGGCTAATTACCTGCATTTAACCGCTATTTAACCGACTTATCATTTTGGACTGTTGTACACAATCACCATTATTATTATCACCTGCAATCGTAGACGGCCGCCTTTGCTCGGATACCAAGCTCAAAATGCGGCAGTAATCTAAACTAATTTAAAGATAACAGCAAAACAATACCGAGGTTGAAGCCTCTATTGCGAAATCGCCGATAAATTTCACAGCCTTTCCTGGGATTTTGTTGTAGGTAACCCTTGTACCCAACCCGCGATAAGAGGCAGGTATTTAATGGAAAGGTACCAAACCACCGAGATTAACACCACTGCTAATGGCAATTAGAATTATTAATGCGACATCGTATTTATGATCTAAAGTGCAACAGTACAAATTCACGGAAATAACAATCTTCAAACAGATT